AGATTGACGAAGTACACTGCTGAGGGGAGCAGCGGGCGGGTCAGGAGAGGTCTGGCTCGCCATGTGGTCTCCGGGGCAGGCGGCAGGCGGAATCGAACTCATGCGGAAGTAGCTTCAGATTCTCAGTGCTGTGCTTTAACCCGCTGCGCCACCAGGGAGGGCCCACACTTTTGTCTTTTTAATGGCAAAGAATTTTGATAAACCTTGTATATATTCTCTTTTCTTAAAGATTTATGTATACATAGGAGTGCTGGGGTGTAAGGAGGCCAGAGGTGTGGGGGTGGAGGAGAGTAGTGAGAGGATTCCCCAGAGACAGAGTGGGGAGCAGAACAGGCAGATGCACTGAAACACACGGCAGAGGGAGCAGCGGGCGGGTCAGGAGAGGTCTGCTAGCTACGCCAAATGGGTCAGCAACCTGGCCTGGGATCTAAGTCGTGCCTCAGTGACTGCCAATAGCTTCATAATGCTGAGACTTAACCCTTTGTACCACCAGGGAGGTCCTGTATTTATGTTTTAATTTGTGATGTCAGTATATCTGAAAGTCATGAAAATGATAGCTCAGTGCCTCAGTGACTGCCAATAGCTTCATAATTCTGAGACTTAACCCTTTGCACCACCAAGGAGGTCCTGTATTTATGTTTTAATTTGTGATGTCAGTATATCTGAAAGTCATGAAAATGATAGAATCAGATATCTGCCCTTTCCTATGTCACTTAGATATAGATAGAACTTAATTCACTAGTGTCAGTATAGCTTATCTACAAGCTGGGTATTTTCATATGATGTATTTAACATCAAATCAGATCCTGAAAATCAGATATGAACAAATATATAACATCAAATATGATCCTGAAAATGATTGCTAACTACTAGTTGAGAAAGATAGATTATTCGGGCATCATCTTAATCTGATCTCTTTGTGAATTATTTCTGGGTATGAGTTAAGTACTTTATTTAGAATATGTCCTGTCATTGCGAAGATTGCTTCAAGTCTTTATATTATATCATGAATTCTTCTCTGATACTGAGAATATAATAGTAAAGAGCTATTATCTCTACCCTGTGGCACCTACATGGGAATACAAACCCATAAATAATAGTAGAAGGTGATTCATGCCATCTGTCTGTTCTGCTTCCCACTCTGTCTCTGGTGAATCCTCTCACTCTCACTCACCTAGTACACCTCTGGCCTGTACCCCAGTTCTTTATGCACAAATAAATCTTAAAATTTTTTAGGGGGTAATATTGGTTTACAACACTGCATATGTTTTGGGGTATATCTCATCTGGAGATAGGGTAATTTCTATTAATCACTCTTCAAGTTCTTTAACTCCTCTGGCATCTATAATTTGAGTTAACTCAAAATATTTAATGATCTAAAATTTTTGATATATTGTTTTTCATTCCAGAATTTCATTTGGTTCTTCTTTTTTTACTATCTGATTTTCCTGTCTTCTTTTATCCCTGCTGAGATTTCCTACTTGTTTATATATTATGAACACTTTTTTTTTTTAAAGATTTATTTATTTATACAGAACCGGGGTACAGGCCAGAGATGTGGAGGGTGAGAGGATTCACCAGAGACAGAGTGGGGAGC